ACTGGTTTACTGTATACAGCAAAATATATTGCTTTATAGACAATAATATACATTTATTAAACAAATTTGGCACAAAAACAATACTTTATCTGTAATTAGATTTCATTTTAAGAGAGATTCCCTTCATCTTCCCTTTCCCTCTGAGGGAATTAGAGGGAAATTTTGTTGAAGGGATTCCCTCTATGTGTGAGAGGGATTCCCTTTCCCTTCCCTTCAACTCATTTTCAATTCCCTTTCCCTTCAATTCCCTCAGAGGGAAAGGGAAATTGAAGGGAATCCCTTCATGAAGGGATTCCCTCTTGCAAGTCTAATATCAGGCATTAATTTTTTTTATTATCTTAATCTAAGATTTAGTCAAAGATTCTTAGATAACAATAAAAAATAATTTAAAATAGTAATGTACGTTACTCAATACTTACTTTTATTTAATTATATTAACTCTTAAATAAAGTAATTTTTATATATTTGTTTATTTATTTTATTTATTCTTTTCATAAATTTCTTAGCGAGTGTTGAGTAAAAAGTTAGAAAAGCTTAGAAAAATCAATTCTTTAACGAATGACTTAGAATTAAATGTATTAATACTTCTTAATACTTATTTTAGTATTAAATGAACGCAAATATCAAACTGAAAATTAAAAACACCATAAAATAGATTCATTTTATAAAATTATTCTTTATATAAACTCTAATGTGATCTTAAATTTGGATCATTTAAACGCTTTTGAGTTTAGAATCAAAAAGGAATTATTATCCTAGTAACTACACTTGAGGGAAACTCTAGTTAAGTGTAGAAAAGGCAGATTATCAAAGTTAATCAAAGCTAAAAACGTATAAAAGCAATTAAAAATATAAACTTAACAAACTGAAAACTTTATTCGTGTTATTCTTCGCCTCATTGCTTAATACAGGCTTTAAGTTAGGCTTCAATGGAGTCGATGTTCGCGAGAATATCGGGCTTTTCGTAGTTTTGGCGCTAATGGGACGAGAACTGCAAACAATGGATTCATAATTATTATAAAAATGTTTCATGAAATAAATAAAGGAGAGAGAACTGACCTAAAAGATGGTTCTCTAGTGACGACCACAGCCTTAGGTGTTGTTGTATTTATATTACGTGTTGTCTTAACAGAAGTGGTCTTTTGTTTGTTGGGATCAATTCTGGCAATACTTTGTTTAAGCTTTTCCTCCAATTCTTTAATAATATTCTCTTTTTCTTTGACTTTTCTTTCGAGAGAATAAACCTTTTCCTGAATCTTATATTTTTCTGATTCCACTTCTTTGGACTTATTTTTCTCGGAAGTGATTCTCTGTTCGTAATTGTTTTTCAAATCACTCATCACTTCTGCAATCTCTTCGTTGAGTCTCTCATATCTCAAATTGATTTCTTTCTGTTTTAATTCAATTCCATTTTCTTTCATAAGGATATCATTTTCTCTTGTAGTCAACTCTTCCAAAGAATTTAATAGTTTGGTCTCGAGTTGTGTTAAATCTTGTAATTTCTTCTTAACTTCTTCTTCCTTTAGACTCTGTTTTTGCTCCAATTGTTTAAGAAATTCGGTTTCATTTTGTTTGAGTCGTTCCCTAAACAAAATCAATTGTTTTTCTTTCCATAATTCAATTTCAAGCGCTGTTTCAGTCATTAAATCGTTTAAATAATGGAGAGTTTGACTCGAGTCGGCGTCGAGAGAGTCGGCGCCTTTCATATGACTAACTTCTGGTAAATTCGGCAAAAGAGGTATTTTTGTTTTCCCGTAATTTTGCAAAAACATAATTATCTGAATTTGAGCCAAAGGTTTGTTCTGTTCGGTAATCACCGGAACAGTCATATTCACCACTTGTTTAGCGTCGGCTTTGTTTGGTTTAACACCTAAAATAGTGGACAAATCCACTTTCGCCACTCCTGTAATCGTGTGAATAGTCGTCTCTTCAATCATTTCTATAATCAAAGGAATTTCTTTAAAAGTTTTATCCAGTTTTGGTTGAGTTGTGGCAAAATTGAAGGCACAGAAGCCGTGAGGTATAACCACTTCCTCCTCAGCGGAGAGTTTAATCGACGGAAATGTCTTAATACTATCAGTGAATCCAAAGAATGCGTACAAAAACTGAAGATAACACGAATCGATTTGAGGGATATCTGAATCAATGACTCGAATATTTCTGAGATCAATAGCAAAGCAGTAATGGTTTAAATCCAATTCTTTGGGCTCTTTTTCTTCCGATTTGTTTTTAGTGTTGTTTCCATCCTTTTCTCGTTTAGTCAAACCACTCTTCAATGGTTTAGTTTCCGTTTCAATGGCAACAGGTTTTGGTAAAACAGATGATTTCTCTTCGGTTTTGAGTTCAATAGAAACGCCGACAATAGGGAACGGATCCGAGATGTCTATCGTCTCATTATCGGGAAGTAACTGATAATACATGTAATATTTGAAACATTAATTTTCAAATAAAGAAAAGTAATTATAAAAATATAACAAACCATAAAAGAGCCTTCAATTGGTTTAAACGAAGATTTGGTTTGAATTGTGAACTGAGATAAACTAATGGCCACAAAACCCAACAACATATCGAAATGATCGCAAAACTGGATTTCAATGGTTTGGTGTAATTGGAAATAAACACTTAATGTGTTTCTATCGGTCGTCAATATATTGAATGCCATTCTTTCGATCTCAGAGTCACAAGAGTTGATGTCATGAAATGGTTTCGTTTTGACAGTTGTTCCCAGAAATGAATACCGAAAGTGAAATGGTTTTAGTGTTTGTGTTTGCTGTGAGTTAACCAACAATTTGGACAAATTCTCGCCGAAAGCGATGGTAACCGAGAAATTGTAATTCAAATTACAATCGCTTTCGGAAAAGTGTTTTTCATCCCAAATGTGATGAAAGCCGTCTTTGAATCTAATCTTAATGTCATTTTCAACATCCGATTCATTGTTAAACTCGGAATCAAATCCCAAATTATGTTCAAAACCAGATGCAGAAGAACTACTCTTTTTGGACGAAATGCTTTCAATGGATTCATTGTCACCAATCAATTGTCTGTCAATTTCTTGGTTTATATTGTCTTCGAGTTGATTGTCATCTAATCTATTGATCAAAAGGGCGATTGAGATCTGAGGTCTTCGACTACTGGATCCCTTATATTTGGGATTAAGTAATGTCTTCCACTCGTATTTGGGCTGAAATGAGTAGTTCTTTGCATTCCTCAGGTCTATCACCGCATAACCAATCAATTGTCTGTCCATTGAATCTGAATTAACGACAAACGCTTGCAATTTGATTGGTTTCCTTTGGATGCGAAACAAATGCAATTGTCTTCTGTCCACTTGAAAACAGAGCTCAGTCTTGAGCTCGGGATCAGATGTGGTGATGAGTATGGCATCGCTGGTCAGCACAGTATCATTAAATCGGGCCTCAATTATGACATATGTCGGCAATTGTTGTCCAAATTGGCATTTCTGGTCATTTGTTGGGAAATTTTCGCCAAAATTAATACTAATTATTATTAAATAGTTATTGTTTTCCATTATTTATAACCAAATTAACGATTAATTAATTACTATTTAGTTTAGAAACAAAACACAAAACCATTGAATGACTGATTGAACGCTAAGACAACACAACTCTTGGAAATGAGATTCAGTTTTGAATACATTTTGGTTTGCAATGAAAATGAGGACAACTTTTGCATATATTTCACACAATTATAACACTTCTTGATATGATTTGAAAACATAAATACAATTAATTGAAACATAAATATGAAATGACATGACATATGAAGAGTAATGGAAATGAATGACAACTGCACTCAATGTAGAGTACATTCACAGCAAACACACAAACACTGCACTCTTCTCATTGACCACTCATTCCCAGCTCTACTCCTCATTCACTGCAACACTGATCCCAATAATCAGTTATATTCTCATCGCTTCCTATAGTAAAGCCAATGCAAAGTAAGTGAAGGTTCTTATTGTAGACACAGTTATAGACCAATCGATTGTACAAATTGTTATCATTTCAACCAATGTTAGGAAATATTAATTAGACACATATGTATTGCCTGTTATAGTTGTGCACCTATTCATTGCGAGATAGACACGAGATCTAAATACTTACGAGTTATTAGAATGCAGTATAGAATACATCCATCAATTCTATAAGTTATAAGTTCAATATTAAAACTACTTTATATCTATAAGTTAGTTACAAATACTAACTATACTGTAATATGCAGTATTTACTGTACTATAGCGCATATTCTCTATACAGTGCAACTTCTCTTGGGTAAACTTCTCTTGGATGAACACCTCCTTTGAACGAACGGTTTTGAAATATATTTTGGATTTTCTATACCTATAACAGAACCTTTCTTGGATGAACCCTCCCTATAATAAACACTTTTGTCGTGCAACTGGCCGTTTATTATAGAGAAGTTGCACTGTATCTTACTTTTTATATTTCAACAGCGAATCTAACATTAAATACATTCAACTGATATTTAAATTTTAATGAAAGGAATTAATTCTTGTGCAGAATTTTGTGATATATACAGAAAATAAAGAGATATGTGATTGTATGAGATATAAACTAAAAAGGTCTTAATTAGTATGTTATCACTTGACTTGTTATGAAATTTAGACTAATATAAGTCAAGGGTTTTTTAAAAATATTTTCTTAAAACAATATTTGGTTCAATATTAATGTTTGGTTGTGTTTGTGGGATGGGGTGTAGGAGTCCTTATTTCTGCCACAATTACTGTATATCATCATTCATTTTAATGGTAATGTCTTTTCTTGTCATTTAATGCATTCGATACTAAATATTAAAATTTTTGAATAATTTTTATCATTTAACTGTTTTATCCATTTCTTAAATAAAACTCAATTTTCAATAAATATGTGAAAAGTGTTCAGAACTTTGATGTATCGAAACTTACAAAAACAAACCATATTGAATTCAATTCAATTTGCAAATCTTATAAACTGTACTCTAATTGATATGAACTGAGACAATGGATTCTTGTATTATTTTGTACATAAAATCACTGAATATTTGGTTTTCTTAATATTTTAAATTTAATAAAAACTTATCCAAATTTTTAAAATTCTGTTTTGTATTCTGATAATATTTTACTTTAAAAATATTTTTTTAGATTAATTTAGATTATATACAGTATTACAAAATAATAAATAATTTACGACAAATGAAATGTTCTGTTTAACATGGAAATATTTTTTGTAAATAATAATTATTAATTTAGTTTAAATTACAGAAATTAGTCATTTATTTAATAAATATGTCGACAAAATGTCGCTAATATAGAGACTCTATAATAGAGTAATTGACAATTTAGCCTAAAGATCGAGAAATACCCTAAATATGCCCTAAATGTTACATAACGTCTCTATGGATCTCTCGTTTCCATTGCTGCCGAATAAACCATTTCCGGGAAGAGTTCCTCATAGATGTCTGGTATCTCTTGGTTTTGGCCATTGATTTCTTTAATCATAATTTGAACGGAAGTTTTTCCGAACATTTGTTTCTCAAACTCTATGAGTGATTTGAAGAAACCGATGTTTGGTTGAGACAACTCTCGACACGTTTTACAATGAATGAACGCCTCCTTTAGCGTCATTTTCTGATATTTCACTAAATAAGCTGTCATTTGGTTTGAATCGAGTTATAAATGCAAATACAACTGATTAGAGGGCTATTAATAAACAAATTGTTTTATAAAACATACCCAAAACCAGAGAAGAGGAGCGACTGATTCCGGCCACACAATGGACTATAACTCCCCGATTCTCAGACACCACTTCATTCAGTTTGTCCGCCACTTCTTCCAAATAGAGAGAAATGTCGTCATCGACCGTATCGTCGATCTAAACATATTTTAAATAATTTCAAATCAATACAACAAATTGCTTATTAATTGCGAGTAATTATAATAGTAATGTATAGTATATACGGGAACTCTAATGCATTCGAGCCCTTTAACGTCATAATTGGGCACTTCATACGTGGCGTTAATAATGCATGAGATCTTGAGGCCCACTATATTCTCGCGGATCATACCTCCAACGCCTGTCACATATACATTGTCTGTGATCTTATCGACCGCATTGTACGGATGCGACAGAATCTCTATAACGCCCGGCGAAGTGTTGGGGTCGGCGTTGACCATATCCTGTTGCGCTCGAGTCGTCAACTTCTTCACTGTCTGTATAGTGATGTCCGACTGATTAGACGCTGTTTTAGTCATTTTCGACGCTTCGTATAGATTTGGATAGTTCTTGAGATTAGTTTTGTCGTCACTACTAATACAACACTCCATCGCTAATACTCAATGATTTCCTAATTGAAGTCAATTTAAAGATTGCATACAATTTACAAATAAAGTTTAAAACCGTTTTTTATATTTAATACACTCATTACTTCAATAGTTTAAATCCAATAATTGTCTGAATATAACGTATAATTTATGAAATCTATAGTTTATTGTAATAATTATTTGTAATTATTTTAAAGTAACAATTTAATTAATATCGAGACTAAATCTTAACCATTAAAATGTTATTTGCAATAACTTATTGCAATCACCAATTGTTTAACACACTTCACGCGCTATTGTAGTCAATACAGAATATTTTCAATACAGACAACGATTCGTGTATTAGTTGTCCAAACATTTCATTCTTTGTATGAAATAAATATTAATTTCAATTAAAACTAGTTGTATTACTAATACACTAGTAATACAGTATTAGTTATACATTTAGATTGATTTTAGAAATCCATTTTCTTATCATTAATTTTTATGTTTCTTTAATACAAACAACTGATTACAGAAAAGTAAAGATTAAATAATATTTTGCATTATTTGTATTAAATAAGGTTTTCTTTTTAATATTTCTTTTAGACTTCAAATTAAATTTAAAAAAATAAAAGTGAAAATAAATAACAAACTGAAGGCTAAGACAAAAATAGTTTGGCATAAAGTGTCAAAATCTAAATAAATATTCTAATGGATCACAAAATGTAAAATATTTATACATTTTTCATACATTACTTAATATATGATTATTTCTCTATTAAAACATCCTTAGTCGTACAAACTAATGTTAAAACTCATTCATAGGATTTGATAGGATTTGATATAAAAATCCCAAAAATGAATGTTTTTTAATGCGTTGAAATACATTTTTCAATGCTTAAGTTTAATGTCATAAATGAGTTTTAACATTAGTTTGTACGACTAAGGATGTTTTAATAGAGAAATAATCATATTGTAATAAAATCTAATACATAACTAATATATGCATTAATTCTGTGATAAAAAATAAATCATTTTACTGTTAGTTATTAATAATAACTTATTATTGTTATTATTGAGTGTTACAGTTATACATGTATTTTAGCAAAATTCTAATTACAATTTCATAACTATTCCTAAATTCTAAATATATTTATATTATAATTTTATATATTTATAGAATTCTCACATTAAATTCCTATCAAATATAAATTGTAAAATTCTGTTATATTTTAATTTAAAGTTGTATTTAATATAAGTGTAAATATAATAATATTTGTAATCATAATTTAGTCATTAAATTTTAGTGTTATACTGTATAACTTATACTAAATATAATGGAAAGCATAATATTTGCCTTTTTTTGCAAAGATAAATAAGTATATGTCTGGGTATAAAAGCAATGAAATAAACATCATATTATTCAATAACATAAATAAATTTTTTCAATTCAAGTAAATAGACAAATGAATATGGTCATTTAAGCGGGTACAATGCTTTCTTATTTAACACCACCAATGCAATGGACTGAATATTTGTATATTGACTAAAACTGATGTATGTTTATTGCAATTAACAAACAATTAAACAACTTTTACTATACAATAGAGTACTTGTCGTAACAATATTTGAATATTTGTACCCAAATTGTTGATGTCTTACGAATAGTTAATGGTTTGGAAATAATGTGTTTTATAACATAAATATTCAAACATTTAATGAATCATTCAAATCATATGTGAATCCATTTTAACCCAAATGTGAAAATAGTATTTCTGAAGAAAATGAGTAAAAAAACTAAGATCTCATATATAGTGAACCAATTGGTGGTAAAGTGTAGTAATCGTAATATAATTGTGTCATAACGAGTGTACACTGTATGCGGTATACTATACAATGCGAGTAAAGTACAGTACACTGTAAGATAGAGTACACTGTAAGGTGTATTCATAGACTAGTGTTGTATTTGTGTAGAAGTAATGGTGTATATAGGCAATCCATTTTGTTATGACTCTGTACACATATCCGTATCCTGTCTCTCTGACGTATAGACGTCACATATGAGCACAGCTGACTGCACACACATAAACTACTGTTGGCGAATAGACAACAACATGTGTGACAATGTATACAGTATAG